ATACGCCGACCCGTGTCTCCTCTCCTCGTTTGTTCCTCTCTTTTCTCCCTTTTTTCCACCCTTCCTTTCCACGGTCTTCTTCCCTCTTCTTTTTGTCCGCCTCCGCGTACGCGCTCCCGAGCCGGCCGTGTTCGCCACGCGATTCCGCCGCGCGCCCGCCGCAACCAGCGGATTCCGTGGACGCCGCTCGTGCGCGTCTCGCGGGACGGGAAATCGCGGCGAACGGCGCGCCGCGCGAAACGGGCGCACTCGCGCGACCGCAGGGAACAGTTTTCGAGGGGAAACCGTCGCGGCCGACCGGCGGAAGAGAGGAACGGCGTCCTGTGAAGTTCTGCCGCGACTGAATCGTTCTCGCCGGGGGCGAGACGGTTGCGGCCTATGTTTGCTCCTTGGAACGACTCGTGAAACGGACACCGGAGGACGGTTTCTGTGCGTCGAAGTCGCAGTGCGTCGTGGATTCGCGGCGGAGGAGGCATTCGTCGTTGGATCCCGGACCGACATGCTCCCGCCGAGATTATCTTAGCTGACCGCAGCTGTGACATGCTCGCATCGAGTGGACTGGATCGTTTGTTTAGGCTGTACTGCGCGCGAGGAAGATCGAACAGGTGGTTCTCTGACTCTGCGCGGCCGACGATGTCACGCTGTCTTTCGATAGTATGAAATTATTGGGCACGGGAGTTCGAGTTTATGAATCAAGTGTGTTGCATAAATGAGTGTTGCGCCCGAGGAACGCAGAAAATCGCCTACAAGTCGGGCTTCCACAGTCGTGATCGGACTCGGCAGTGATTTCTGAGAAACCCCGGTTCGATGGATACTGAAGCTCGCTCCGCGGTGTGAGGGTGTGTATACAGTGTGAATTCGCTGATGTTGTTCGGGGAAGATGTCAATTGGCAGGAGGCTACAGGTGTCGATTGAACGCAGAAGGTAAATGCTAGGTCCGTAGCTGTTTGCTAGTCGACGCGAAGAGATTCCTGCGTTTGTAACCGAGATTCGTGGCACCTGAGACTTTCACGGGTCAGAACGAAGCTATCAAGATTGACAGTAGCGGCGGAGTTCGAAGGAAACTTGCGAACATCTCTAAATGACCTATTCTTCGTCGTTAATCGTTACTTTCCAATTTCAAGCATCGAAAACCGCGACTTTGACTCGAAATCAATGAAGTCGATCGATGTCCCCCTAATTCAGCTTCCACGCGAGTAAAGAACGAAGCGGCGTTGGAGTCGAATTTACGGAATAAGATTTCTCGCGATTAGCTACAGGGGTATCGTCGAGCAACCGGAGGCCCGCAGATTCGCGTCGAGTTTAACGAGCCGAGTAGCCGCTGGCTAGGCAGCCGTACGAAAAACCAATTCGAATTTCTTTCTCTCTCCATCGTTTCGTCCCTGTTCCCCGGCGATCCGCGGCGCCGACGATTAATTTGTCACGACGTCCGGGCACAACAATTTCAACTGTCTGCAGTCGGTGCCATGATATCCGTGTGACGTGCCGCTCACAACCGGTTCATTAATGCTGCAGCCGCTCGTCACTCATTGGCTGCCACGGGTTGCCAGCGATCGTGATGTTTGCGATAGAGAGAAAGAAGGGAAAAAAAGGAGGAGAGACCGATCGGAAAAAGGGTGGGAGAAAAAGAAGGGAAGAACCGATACGCGCCGGCCGATACTTTTGACGGGAGTGTTTCACCTTTCAATCATTATTATTGCGAACGGCCGGCGCGCCGTATCGCCTCGGAGGACGGCTGGCCACGCCGCGCCGGTCCGTACGGGTTGACGGACAATTAGGATATTAATGATCCGTGACGGCCTGGGAAAGTCACGTAAAAATCGCTCGTGCCCCGGGCGTCGATGCTCGCGCCTCCGACAATGTAATCCTGCCCGCACGATTTCTTCTTCGCGCCGGTGCTACGCATTGTATCCCGATGATTGCCGCGAGATTGCTCGGCTGTCTTCCAGAGAGAAATCTGACGGGAGGATGACTGGCTCGAGTATTTGTTTAAAACGTTCGGTAGGGTAATGAAAGGATTTGGGAGATTTAATTTGACTAGTTAGGGAACGAACTGCTTCAGACATTTCCTACGGGGAGATGGTAGCACAAATGATTATTTGAGGTGTACAGTACTAATATATAAATCGATACTTTCATTTTTCTTGAATAATTGCAACTGAACAGCGTGTTAAGTGAATTTTAATCCTTTCTTATCTGTTCGAAAGATTAGAAATCTACTGTGATATTCATTTCTCCGTAAGATTCTTTCCTCAGAACTGATTGTTAAAACGCAGAGCTACGACGTCAAGATTAATAATCAAACTTCTTCTTTTCCTTTCAATCCGAAAGAACCTCATTTGAAACAATTAAACGTCAGCCTGCCTTAATTAATAGTGCGAACGCGAGAGAATCTCAATCCATAAATAACACCGCGCGTACGACGCGCAACGTGTCCCCGGTTGCACGCAGGCCCATCGGTAATCGATTTCAACAATAATTCTCGTTCCATTCGAATCGGCCATAAATCACGGCCTATCCTTATCGCGAGAAGAGATTCCGCCGTTCCGCGAATACTTCTCCGTAGCCTGAAGTTTCAATTCCGCCGCGACTGCGGAATAACTCGCCGCCGACAGGGCTCGTCTTCGGTGTCTATGTAGGATAGTGCGTGCCGCTAATCCAGTCTTCTCAAGAGTGACGCGATGTATTACGTTTGCATACACGCGGTTATAACGCGCGCGCAGGTAAAAGAGCGATTATTTCAAGGACTGCAAACTTGTTGCGGCCCCGCGGTAACGATGCGAGCCGCCTCCTCTCTGTTCTCTCTAGTTTCGCGAGCACGAAAATATCGGCGGGGCAACCGGATCGCACAGTGGCCGCGTTCATTCGTTCTCTCGTTCGTACCGCTAACAGCAGGAATCGTAACAATGCCGGTCACATAACAGACGGCCCCTTGGAAAATCAAATTTCGGTTGAGTATCTAAATTCCACTCCAGCATCTACAATCTAATTCGCACGCGAAACACCGACATTCCCGGGAATCGAATTAAAACATGATCAGTTTCGTAGACTTTAGTAGTTTATATACCTCTGACAATGTCTCATTTGTATTCTCGGTATACTGTTTATTCTCTTCTATTTACACACGTCTCCTATCGCCGCAGAACGCGAATCATCGCAAACAACGCTCGATCAAAGATTACTTCGACAACGTTCCTGAACACTCGCGCCGGGAATATTAATTGCAGAATTTCGAGAATGACGGAAGAATTCCGTCCTCTTAATTTCCCGCGGACACCGTCCGCCCAGAGGTATTACTTAGCGAGTTAACCTTTTCGGGATCCCCGGGCGCGCGTGTTTACGACTCAACCGGCGAGTAAATGGAACTTTATCGGTTTGAAAGCTAGTTTCGGCGCGAAAACGGTCTAGCCGATCTCAGCCGGTTACGTAAGCCCGGCCGACCGTAATAGCGATTCGGCAATGAATTATTAATACCGTAATTGCGCCGAAAATTTCGGGAATCGATGTCGCCTGCGAGAGGTCTTCTTTCGGTGGTTAATGAGATCCACTCGGAGAACTTTTGAAATTTTAGCATCGTCAACGATTCGCCACAATGATAGATAACCTTCGATTTATGTGGAGGATTGAATACCGAAATGATCTCTCAATGAAACCAAGGAGAGCCATCGTTTTTCGATATCCTTTGAGATTCTCGAATTTACTGTTATCCGGTTGAAACGGTATGTTGCTTCTTTTTTTTGTAGATATTTCCTGTGTATTCTATTCTCCTATTTGCTCGACGATCGAAGTTCACGTCGTCGCGTTACATTTCCCATACCAACGGGGAACGTTAGCCCGCGGGAACGGGGATTTATAGGACTCGCGGCGAGCGAGCGATACATTCAACCGAACCGGTCTTCCGCGGGTACACGGACTCTTAATTAATTTGTCATTATTTAAGGAAGACGTCTGGCGATAAAACTTACCGACGTCACGGCATCGCGAGCCTCCTCGTATTTCTCGCTTGTCGTTCATCCTTCAAACGTATCGATATCTTCTCGACAACTGAACAACCGGAATCCGATGGACACGGAAGGGAAAAAAGGGCAACATTCATTCCCGGTGCAATTTGTAATTTGAATTTTCCCTCGACTTTCTCGAGGATGCCACTGGTTTTTCGAATGGACGTGCATTAATTACTAGATTGATGTGTTTCGTTAAACATTTGTGATATCTTAATACTTAGACGACTGCCTAAGAAGAACTACAATCTCCTCCATTATCTTCAATTGAATTCAATTAATTCGGTTAGAAACTGTGTTTCGTAAAAGCAAGAACCGTATTTGATGAATTGCAAATAATCCCACTTAAAGACTTACTAAATAACAAAAGAAAAGATAAACAGAATAAAAGGCAGTACGTTGCTAAGTGAAAAGTTGGAAATCTCCCCATTCGGTTGGCTAAGTGTTAAGAACGCAGTATATTTCGGTACTCATTTTAGTTCATAAAAGTAGTAAAGGAGGTACATTGAAATCACTCTTTTGAGTTTTAATTCATATATTATTTCTATGTCACAAACTTTTCAATTATCCTTGTTTCTACATGATAACGTTGGAATATAAGCTAAGTACCTGTATAATAAATTCTAATTGAAGTTTTAGGAATTTCTCTACACATTCGAATCAACCGGTTCGCGTTTAATTGTCATCCATTCGTTAATCCATTCGAAAAGTTCCCCTTTCCACCGATTAAACGTGCAACGCGAGGATCGTCGAGCGTGATTCTGTCGCGTAAAATAATTTCGCGCGGACCGACAGTTTAAAACAAAATGGTGGCGTGCGTGGCGTGTAAGGGCGGCGCTTATTATTTTTAATGCATCAAAAACGGAACCTCGTTAATCGGAAGCGGACACGTTTACACGCGTCGGTGTTCACCAGGCGTACACGGGTTCGGTTCCCGCGCGCGGATGAAATTAATACGTGGCCGGCGCCGTAATTAGCGCTCGTATTTATGCGCCTCTTGCGAGGCGGGCTCCGTTAACATGGTAATGGCGTTACACCGCTGTAAACACGACATGTTATCTCGGTTCGGCCCAACGAGATTCGCGCAAGAAATGGCGGATCCGAATGTTTCGAATTTTCGGCTGACGGCAGCCTCGTTTCCGATACGAAGCTTTTTACCGGAGGATCTCGGCGAACGTCTCTGGAAAGGTGTGATTGGAGGGACATTAAAAAGCTTTATAAACTTATAACGTGGTTACTATTGTGGAATAGGGTATTGCAACTTTTGTGAATCTTCTTCCAAGATTTGCCTCTTAATAGTCTTCCTTCGAAGTGAACTGTCAAATTTGAATACTGTTTGATTACTGTACCATTACTCGTACTAGCTACTTGATTGTATCTACTTTATACATTCGTAATTAATTAATATCAACTATGATACAAGTGCCCTTTTTCAAGATATAAAGATCAGTGAATTTTTCAAACTTGACACAGTAATTCTTCGTATAACAACTAATGCAATATTTATATAATATCTCAAGGTTAATATATTCAAAAATTGTCATCACACAGTATCCTAAAAGCGACCTATATCTCTTCTAAATATCCATTACACAATGGCCACTTCCCAAAGATTAGCTGCGCTAACGATGTTAAACGTTTGAAAGTGTGATTCTCCGAGTGTTCGAGTGCACCCTTGTGATTCCAGTTCACACGGGATCCCGTAAAAGAGAGGAGAGGAGAGGCCGGTGGTACCGGTCCACCGCGATCCAAAGTGAATCCGTGGCGTTCGACGAAATTTTGAACGGCGCCGTAGGTTGTTGGACACGCGCGAAAATGTCGGCCCGCGGCATCGAACACGGAACAGACGGCTCGAGGGACCGGCTCGAACCGTTTACAGCGAGAGATTAAAGAACATCGAATGGACGTGGGCGATTTGTCGAGCTCGGCAGGATTGGCTGGGAGCGGATCCATCCCTGGTGCAACGGGTGTTGGTATCATTACAAGTACGACATCCGCCACCGCAGGGTGGTGGACGCCTACGTCGACGATCGCCTCGGCAGCGGCCAACACCGACGTGGTGAGTTCCTTTTGCAGTATTCTTTTATTTTTCTCTCCGATCGACGCGGCGTTTCTTTCCCCTTGTCGAACCCGGCCAGGTTTCGCTAGAGGACTCATCGTTCGTTCCTCTCTGAGATCACTTCCGCCGGGGGCTCGATCGAAGCTTATCCTAAAATGTACGTGCGTCGCGGCATAATTATCTTAGCGACGATTAAACGCGCAGGAACTTGAACGAAGGAAGTTCTGTCGGATATGTACAAGTGGACTGTATATTTCGTTCGTGTCATAAACTTCGAGAATCTCTAATTACGGTGTTCCGTCCTATACGTTGTTATTTGTATTAGAGCCTTTCGATTAATCTACCCAACAGCTTGTTCACTCGATATAATTATAATATTCACGTAAATGGCACGTTGTTTCAAGTACTTACACGCGAATGGTGAAAAAAGCCAGGCGAAGAACAGGTTCAAATCGACGATTCGCAGCTGAGTCCCCTAAAAAACCCGTAGACACCGGTGACCGGGCTGCGGCGCCGATAAAGGCGAATCATCGGCCGTGTAACGCGAGGAAAAAGATCCCCGGGTTGGCACGGTACTTTCATTTCTTCGTCGAGTCCCATTCGTCATCGGCATTACCTTCGCGCGTTACTTAATGAGACGTCCCCACGGTTGCGGGTGTGCGATTAAGCGGCCGAGAAGGGTCGAATCGCGGGTGCCGCGGAGGTGGAACGGTAAAGAACGCCGATAGGTTGTTCGCGCGGACGGGAGAAAGAGAGAACGTCGACGGTCGAGATCCATCGGGACACGGGGACCATTATTTAGTTCCGTTCCGAGTGCAGGGGATTAGAACCGAGGTGACACGGCCGCGTCATCTGTTGGACGTTTAACCTTTTTTACCTTGCACCGAGCCTGCGCTTTTGCCGGCGTACCAGCAAGAAGCCGTTGGCCGTCTCACCCAGATACATTTGCACCACGGCAAAAAGGAGAACTGCCCCTTTTTATTTCATTTCACTTTCTTTATTTAATGTTCTCACTATTGGAAGAAGAATACTGTAATTCATGCTGGATAATGTATAGCAATGCTTTAATGGATAATGATACTAGAATCGTTTGACGCTGAGGATTTGAAATTTGGAAAGTAAATATGGAAGATCTGTATAGTTATTAGGGTATTTTGAATTTTGCCTATTTTAAGTGTTATGCATTTGATAGAGTTAAATGAATCATAAATCAGAGAGTAACAATTGATACAATTAGAAATGTCGAGCCTTTCTGTATAGGTCCCTTTAGAATCCCCGGTTCAGCAGAGGTTGAATTAAAGTTACCTTCCATTGACACAACGTCACTCATTTCCAATCACAAGAGTCACCTGACAGAGCCCCGTCGATTCATCTCTAGGACCATTACGGCACCGGCAGACGAGATATATCAGAATTCTAAAAATATTTCGAAATAATCCTCTCGACCTCAGCTCCCAGGATCCGCGAAAGGTTCTTCTCTCGCGCAGGGCTGACGTAATATGATTTCGTCGCTCGGCGAGACGCCCCTTTACATCGGCGATTACGCTCGTTGCGAAATCGCAAACTAGAATCGATACACCCTTCTTGCGCCGTGGAATCGAATAACATCTCCGCTGGATCCGCACGCTCTCCCGTCCGACGATTTACCTTTCCCGTTCGGTCATCCTTTCTCATTCGATCGTCGCGATCCGCGGAGGCCGCAGCCTGGTTCGCCGGTAATGACTAGCTAACTAGGTTTTAATAGGAACACGGTCTCGCAACCGAATCCCCGACGGTTCTTGCCTGGCCAGAGAGAACGCGGGAAACGGTCCTTTTCACCGTTTTCGAGAGCGAACCGCTCCGATCCTCTTGCGAGGATTCTCAACCTGTCGAAGCGCGACGTGCGAAATTGAAATATTCCAATCGAAAGAACACGCGTTCCCCTTGTCGCTTGCGATCGGTTCATACTAGAAAGTCGAATTTCCGAAGAAAATAATATTACCCGAAGATCAATCGATCGAATACCCAAATACGTTCAGGTCTCCGCCGGTGATCGGCGGCCGAGTTGCGCTCGATTCGAGCGGAACCGGCAAGTTGCGATATCGACGGGAATTGCCATCATTCACGGATCTGCTCGGTCGATCGCCTATAAATCATGCAAAATCATCGACGCGTTTTTTCCCCACTCTTTCGGTATCCACGGCGGTTTTAATCGTTTCGGTGTTGCGAGACGCGAGGGAAACGCGTGCGCGCCGGGTATACGTGTCGCTTGCGGGGAGCTTGTTAACTGCTCAATGATTAATCCGGCGTTACCAAACGCGTCCCGCCGATCGTCGCTGGAATAAATAGCGTTAGCAGCGGGGAACACTTGCTCGGAGCGTGTCTGGCTAGCCGGGGACTGCGGACTTTTTTCTTTTCCTTCTTTTTCCGCTATCGCGGATCGGAGACGGGAGACGGTCCCCAGTGATTGGCACGTATTGCGGGCTTAGGCACCGGTCCCGCGATCGTTGGACCAGTGTTCCGAGCGTCTTCGGTTTCTTAGCTGAAACGTAACCACACGTCGCGCCTTTTTGTTGCAGATGAATCAGCTGTGCAGGGTATGCGGAGAGCCGGCCGCGGGTTTTCACTTCGGGGCCTTCACGTGCGAAGGTTGCAAGGTTAGTATCCGTCTAGTCCGTCGCCTTTTTATCGTAATCACCACGCCCACGGCAAAAACTGAATAATTTAATAATCATTTCACTCGCCTCGCGCGCATCGGCCGGCCAACTTAGATTAAGTAGCCGAGTAACGAGTTACTCCGGGGAAGTGGCTAAAAGCTATTAACTGTCTGATTAATAGTCCGACGCGGAATTGATTGAGGCGATCCTAAATAAGTTTGCTCCCTGTATTAACAATCCCGCAATTACGTGTAATTATTCGGTCTACCGATGATTGCCCCGTTGTGTTATCAATTGACGCACGGTTTCAACACCGGAAAGATGCTTGTCGTTAGAAGACGATAAGAATATTTCGTTATCCGTACACGCGTAGAAGATTAGTTCCCTTGAAAGCACAATTAGGAGACCAGGAAACTTCTCCCTGAAACCCTACGAACCGCATTTAACCGAAACACATTCCAAAGAACGCTACGAACCACTTGAAGATTAACGATACCCGGCGCTATCCCCTCCCACCGAAAATCACAAGCCTGTTTTCTGCCCCCTAGTCGTTCTTCGGCCGTACCTACAACAATCTAGGGAGCATCTCCGAATGCAAGAACGGCGGCGTGTGCGTGATCAACAAGAAGAACCGAACCGCGTGCAAGGCGTGCCGTCTGCGCAAGTGTCTGATGGTCGGGATGTCGAAGTCCGGCTCCCGTTACGGCCGCCGTTCGAACTGGTTCAAGATCCACTGCCTGCTGCAGGAACAGAGCCACCAGGTGCAGACGCGCATGGTCAAGGACTCGAAGTCCGCCTACGAGAAGGCGTTCGGTTCCCTGGACGTGGCGAACAATAACAATAACAATAACGAGAACGCTGGCACGACGAGCTCGTCGAACGTAGTCGGTATGGTCACCACAACCACCACGACAGCGAACAGTTACCATCACTACCATCATCATCAACAGGATAGGTTTCCGAAGCGGGACGATTCGGTCCTGAGGCCGCAGGACCTGCCGTCGCAATTACGAACGCCGGAAATACCGGCGAGAGTCAGCGGCCAGGATCCTCTTCTGAGGCCCATGGACCTGGTCCGAGCGCCACACGAGCTGCTGAGGCCGGAAGTGTCCAGGTTCCCCATGTGGCGTGGCCCGCCGTTCTTCCATCCGGCGTTGTCGCACATGCAGCTGCTGAACGCGCCGTTCTTCCCGTTCCAGCAGCGGTTCATCGTCCCCTACGTGAACCAGGTCGAAGCCTCGCAGATGGTAGCCAGCTCGACTAGCTCGTCCAGCGACAGCGTTAGCGCGCGATCAACACCTTCGTCGAAGAGGGACGACGAGAACAGAAGCAACAACCGGGAGGAATGTAAGAACGACGAGACCTGCGAGAGGAGCCAAATGGAAGTCGCGCACGACAAGAGTCTGGCGTTCCTGAAGTCCCTAGGCCCGGAACAGGACCAGCCCATCGATTTAAGCATGAAGGCAGGGCCCACGGAGGAGCTGGAGGTGGACACCGCCAGTACGGAGGAGGAGAGGTCCACGGACAGCGAGGAGGACATCGACGTGCAGCAGGACACGGGGCCGCCGCTCGATCTCACCAGGAAGACATGACCCCGGGGCCGCGACGATAGCACTTGATGGAAACGGGACTTTTACTCTGGAGCGAGTGGCTCGCCTGGGGATCGTTGTGGAGGCACCGGGCCTCTCCGCACAGAGAGCCACATTGTTGTCCTTTCGCGGAAGCGTTGCGAGATGAATCGTAGACTCAAGTGACATCGAAAGGGTGATCCTCGGAGAGGTCACGCGAAGACTCGCGGAACGAAAACATTTGGGTTCGAAGATCGGAGAGGAAGACGACGATAGAAGTGTACAGTTCTTTTTAGTTCAATGGGGAAGTGACAGATGGCTGGGGATTGGAGGAAGAAGCTAACGTGCAGAGGTTGTTGAGTCGACTTTAGGGTCGGATCGATGAAATTGCTCAAGTACCGGCCTGTTGGTCGCCAGGTGAAGTAAGCAACCGGAAGATCGTCAGAGTTTGTGCCTTAACCGGTGCCTTCGAGCTTCCCCGGCCGGGTACAGGGTGCCAGTAAAAAGCCACGTGATAGTTTAACGTTTAAACGACGCGCACGTCCGATGTGCGGCAAGTAATATACATAGATTAATTATATGTATATGTATATATAAATATTTACCTGTGCGTGTGTGGTGCGTTTATCGTGGATACCGCGATCGAGCGGAGCGGCCGGAAGCCGCCTCCGACGCTCGGGAATGGCCAGTGTTACGTTCGACCCTCGACCAATACGAGATTCTCACGTATCTTTCTTTATTTATACCGAGCGTGTTTCTTATTTAACGAGATCGAGAAGTGTACACCCGTGATACCGTACAGTGTGTGTGTGTGTGAGAGAGAGAGAGAGAGAAAGAGTGTGCGTGATCGCTACATCGATCTCCTCGTCGAATTACGCGGGAAGAGCCTAACGGTGTGTTCGACCTTTTTATTTTCGTTCGAAAATTGTAATACGGGATCGAGTGTTGCGTACGGTTTCTGCAAATATTTTTCCTTCGCGATCGGAAGAGATCTCGCGGCAGATCGGCGGGGCAAGGGAAGAGGAGAAAGAAGTAAGACGAGGAGAAAAAAAGGGTGAGGCGGAGAGTGGCGATCGCGATCGAACGATACGCAAGCGCGCGAGTCCGGCATGTGTTCGGGCGAGAATACGAAGTAAAATAAAGAATATTGTATAGCCAATATGTGGCGCCTTGATCGTCGTTCATTAAATCTCTCCTCGATCATCGTTTCCCTTACGCGAGCGTCCGTAATCACGTACCTCGAACTCGAGATGGTATTCGATTACTTTCGTCTCGCGCGTCTCTCGCATTCCATCCCGTCGGCGCGCGTTGCGCTGTGCAGGGGCCTGTTGCGCGCACCGTGCGCGAGTGCACGCCTATCCCGCCCTGTCTATCGGGTTATTTATTCGATAATAAATTCGTGCGACCCTTGACACGCCGCGCGAGAACGCGTTTCCCCGGTGAATTCCGTTTTAACGCGACGCCGCGCCGCTAATAAGCCGCCTGGCCGCGCGTCCACTCGGAGCGGACTGTTTCGGTCGGTCGGCGGAACGGTCAGTGTACGAGGGAAGGAAAGAATTTCGAAGGAGTACCTTGGACGCGTGTCCTTAACGAGGATCGAGTGACGGGGAAGCGCGGCGGGGTCGTCCTTGCGCGTAGCGTTTACTGCTAATTACGCTGGGTCTCGAATCGGGGGAAATTTCACGGTCCCCGCGCAATATATCATAACTTGCGATAATTTATGAACGGCGCGCTGGCAATGAGGAACTGCGCTCGCACGGGCCCCGGCCAGCCCGGCCCCGATCTATGGCGCGGACTATCATAGGCGGTATCGCGTTTCTAATGTGACTCCATGCTCTGTTCGCGTACGCGGTAACCGCGTGCGAGCCCTCTTCTTTCGTTTCGTCCCGGCCTCCGCGCTTTATGGACGGTCTCGCCGAGTAAGAAACGTTCGGCCGTCGGAAAACGAGGAGGAAGAAGAGAGAAAAAACGAACGTCCGAGGGAAGAAAGAAATCGTCCGAGCCACGGCGCTCGAGCTAACAAGAGGGACGCGTTTCCTTCGATTTATTATTATCATTTCTCTTCTTTCGATCTATAAACCTCGCGCGTAAATCTTGGCCCGTTCTTGCGGCCGGGTTACGCCGGTGATTTACACATGCCGAGGGGACAAAAATCATAAAATCGTAATGATCTTCTTCTGCGGGCTGCCAGCGCGCGCGAGCGAGGCGCAGAACGGGGCTTCCGCGACGACTCGGAGACTTCGATGACCGCGCGAGCGGGGAACTCGAGGAATATTCGAATCTAACTGATTTCTACGTTACAACCGGTGATCCGCCATTTTGTTGTATCGATGTGACCCGGTTGTAGCACGGAATGGCGGATGATTCGTTAGGAAAAATGTTCTGGAACGCTAGGAATGCGCAAGAATTTGATTTTGTGAAATAGCGAATCACTTATTGGGAGTCTACGGTCATAATACACATTTCACGCTATTTTATATGCGAAATTAAGAATCGAAGTCATATTTTCCTGACTTCTTAACTGTCACCGAGGAAAATTCGTTTTCATTCTTTGGAATTTGTCTCGAGACCAGAAGAAGATCGTTGCTCTTAAGCGAGCCGAGCGCGAGGTTTCCACGTGTTCCGCGTCGCGGACCGTCCGAGGGACACGGAATTCACGGGAAGTGACACAATCGGCAGCATTCACCTGCGTGCACCTGCGTGTATCCACGACACACTCCCGGTGCCCGTAACCCCGGACGTTAAAACGCCCGGGCCCGCTCGTTTTGTTGACTTAGGCGGGGACGAGGAAGGGAACGGGGCGGCCACTCGATGTCCGGCGAACGAGCTCTAGTGGTCTCCCGACGTTTCAGGTTTCCGAGATTTTCGGTCCACGTGTGCGCCGCCGGGAAAAGTCGCTGTCAACGGACGATGACGTGTGCGAAACCCGCGAACCTTCTCGAGAGGCAGCCCGTGTCCCTGAATTACGTAAAGAGACACTTTTTCGGGGGTGGCGTCGGCCTAGTTACGATCGACGGACCAGGTTGCGTAATTGTTTGGGTAACACATTTTCACGAGAAAAAAACATTTGTCTAGTCTTAATTGTAAAAGCATATCAGCCGGAGGAAAATTGACGAGTGGATTGTTCAACCTACCAATCGCGGGATGCTGGAAGAATGTATCCCGTCTAGGACGTTGCAAAATTATTTAATGTTGTCTATTTATTTGAGACATGTTTGTAGCTTGTACTATTGTTTGTCAAAAAGAACATTGGAAATAAATGATTATGCACGTGGACGCGTCTCTCAGTCTCTCCAAATCGAATCTCATGAGAAATAAAACGAGAACTCGTACGTCGCGTTGTGTGGAGTTCGCGGCTTTTGTGCCGTTTCCATTTTATTCGGTTTATTAACACGCGCCGATTCATTTCCCCGCGATTCCCTGCGCGGGAACAGCGTCGCGCGGACACTGAACATCGGCGGATCCTATTATGAGACAGGTACGATTCTATATATCACGCCTACGTAACGTATACCGGGATGATTTACGATGTTTACGCGGTCTGAAGTCACACGCGTCTGTTATTAATGTCGAAATTGAAAGACCGGATCGCCATGCCGCGCCGCGCCGCGCCGCGTTGAGCCGAAGGATCCACCGGGGCCAGGGAGCTGGGGGGCGGATGAAAAATCCTTCGTCCTAACGCCGCCGACCGGGACCGAACCCATAAACCCCCACCGTTTATATTCTTTTTATGAGCGAACGGTTACTTCATTTTTCACCTTCATTCGCCACGTATTTTCAACACGTTATGTAAATCTCGCGGGACAACGGACCGTCCGGTTTCTCGTAAATTAATAAACTCCCTCCGAAGGGGACAGACGAAACGAATTAGGGGTGTCGACAGAGGGAGGGGGGAGCGGAGGCGACCGGAAGAGCTGGAAGGACCGGTTGCCCGTTGAATGGCTCTCCAGAAGGCACCGAGGAAGCCGCGCGGATTCCGCGCCTCCGTCTCGAACAATTGATTGTTCAGACTTGATTTGCATTCTGTTCCCTGTCCGCGTACGTTCTATCGATTTCACGACTCGTTTATCTAATTGCCGGCTTGCCTTTTCACGCTCGACTCGTTATGATCGCGCTCGTGTGTACGTTCTCGTTGCTGTTCGCGCGAACGACGTTACGTCAGGTTGATGCTCGCCGTGGCGGGGATCCGCGCTGCGCGATAGCGACATCTTGGACGATCTACGACGAAAATGGCGATAAGTTGCTGGTCCGATTTACTGGGACAGAGGTGTGTTTTGGTTGGAGAATGTTTCGATTGTATGCGTTGGGATTATTAAACTGCTGTTTATTCAGAAATAGGATTCACTGTAGCAGAAATGGTACTTAGGTTTATAATCTTAGAAACAAGATTTTGAAAGGTTTTAGGCTTTCAGGATCATCGCGTTTCGATGGAAAGTCCTTCAGTTGTTAAATAAAAGAACATTTAATCTTCATTTGATACTAAAAGTTTCAAAGTTTTAACTGCAATTAGTTGCTCGTCAAACTACCACCGACGAGGAAAAAAATTTTCACCCAGTCCCAACTCAGAGCAACCAGAAAGCAGATGTCCAATCGGCCAGCCCGTCGAATCCGATAAGCACAAATTCGTGATCGGCACCAAAGGTGAAACCAGGAAAATCGCTGCGAGCGATTCCTAACAAAATACACCGGAACTTTCACCTCCGCCGCCTTTCTCGAGGCAATCTGTTTGCAAAGAAATCGCCGGGGAATAGTAACGCGTACACCCCGCGCGCGCGCTCGGCGACGAGGTCGGCAGATGCGCGCGGCACGAGCGTAAGCGGGGCCATTACCGGCGAGTGCGTGAGGTAAAGAGGTTTACTACACCTGTGGCCTGTGGGCTTGGCCAATCAAGCCGTTACCGTGAGGCCCGCGATAGAAAATTCCGGTGAAAAGCTTGCCAAGAGTACCGGAGAGAAACGGGGAACAAGAGAAAGAGGAAAGTAGCGGCGGAGAGGGAGGGAGGGAGGGATCCCGGCGAGAAAGACGGAACAACGAGAAAGAGGGAGAGAAAGGAGAGAGGGCACAGCGTTAAGGTTGACAATCCGGGGTCACAGTGGTACCGTCCGATTGGCCGTCGGGAAATTCTGAATGTGTTTTTCACGGGGAACCGACGGCGACGTGTCCGAGCCGCGCCGGGTTGGGTCGGGTCGAGCGTTTCGCCGGACGTTTACGAGCGTTTGACCCTAAGTAAGTGTGCGCCGGGGAGCGCGGAATGCAGGGGAGGCGGAAGAGAGGACGGAGAAAGGGAGAGAAGTCGCTCTCTTGCGGTCTCGCTAATTGGGTACGTTGCACACGCACCGTCGTAAGAGGATCCTCAAGTGGACGTAAACCTAATATCGCCGCTGAGACGGGAAAGGGATGCTGTCGTACGGCCGGCGGGGAGATGATGAGGACTCGAGGCCCGACGCCGGAGATGTTTTTCAGCGCTCTGGTAGCGGGGATAATAAACGTTCCTTTATACGGCGAACCTGGGTCGCCGGGATTTTTGGGACGGTAGCGACTCGGGAATTATCGGGTGAATTTGGAAATAGCTTCGTGTTTGTATTATGAGTTTCAATGTGTTGTTAGTCAATAGAGGGATCTCTTGTTCTTGATAACGCTGCATTTTTGTCTTTCTTATTTATGTTAGTTTCATTGTTGAGTTATGGATAATAAAGGATCACTGATGTGATTGCGATTTGTGAGACGTATGATGTGTTTTATGAAGGTTTTAATTTGCAAAGATTACGTTGGGGAGAATACAAATTTTCTTGATTTCGTTTTCGAGAGGTTTCACTGTGAAATTTAATATTGTGAATGATTGTAGTATTAGGAGGAATAGAGGATCAACGTGTTGTTAATTGGTTCTTTGTTTACCATGAAAAGTTTATAGAGCTTCGAAACGATTTTAAGGCGACGGAGGTTGATGGATGATCAGAAGTTCGGCGACGTTCGGGAACAACGTTTAAATCTGTGTTCCGTTGAGGTCTTTGCGCCTTCGGGCTCTCGACACTGACATTGGCGGATCGTGTACAGGGAGAACAAAAATGTACGATCCATTATGGTTGTGTATTACAATCGTTAATGCGTCAGGGGACAATAATAAGGAAGATTAATGAAAAGAGCGGGGAACAGGTTCTGCCGAAAGGTCCGCTAAACCTATTATTGACGGCTACACGCTATACAGGCGAATGAAATTAACGGAGGCCGTACTGCCAATGTCTGCGCGATTTGTCTTATTTCGCCGGCGACGTTCCATCGAAATAAAATATTACGCCGTTTTAAAATTGCATGTTCCAGGAAATACACGTCTTGCCAAGAACTAGGTAGCAAAGCTGCTAATTCGTAGTCTTCTAGCTGTTTCAGCTAATCAATGCTAATGCCCCCGTCTGTATTCGGAAAAAGGATAATAAAATCAGCGAATCGACCAAAAAAGATTGATTTACGTACTGTTTATAAAATGTCTTCTCATATTTTTAAGATAACGTATCTCAAGTTTTATCCTTATATTGCAACGGAACCTTGAATCGTTTCTATCTTAGACCTCGAGTCAAACAAAACTCACGGCTTCCGTGTATCCAGACATCGCTTCCATCTTCCCGAAAAAAGCCGTCCGTTTAATTATTCCCGATCCGAATGATACGTTCAGCTGTGTCATCGGAACTTTCTTGATCGAAAGTTGCTGCGTAGGCGCGGGGCCCGCTTTCGAGAAATCGCGCGGACGATCATTAATAAGAGCCGCATCATCGGCTCGGCGTGACCGGCCTCTGCCTCCATGACACTTGACAAATACCTTGGTTTTTTTTTCATTCCCGCCCGTTCCTGTTTTCCTCTGCCTTCCTGTCTAAGCGTCCCCGGAACCGTATCTCGGGCAATTACGAGGTAATCGCTGTAGAGAAACTTCTAAGTTTCGGTTCCAGTGGACGCGACATTGGAGGCACCGTTCTGACGAATAAATAGCTAAATGTGTACGTTTACTAGCTTTTCAGAAGCTCGGATAGAACCTTCGAAGCTTCAAAGTTAAGCTTTGAAACTTTGAAGACTCAACTTTGAAGTTTCAGTTTTGATGCTTCGAACATTCGAACTTTATAGTACTCCAAGCTTTCGAAAACTTAATTTGTAACTTTGACTGTTGCAACCTCGAAGATTCAGCTTTCAAGGCTCAATTTTGAAGATTCGAGTATTCGAACTTAATAGAACTGTAAGCTTTCAAAGACTCAGTCTTTATAATCCTCGAAACATCGAAAATTGAAGCTCTATGGAACTCTAAACCTTCGAAGATTCAACTTTTAAGTTTGATCTTTGTAACTTCGAAGATTCAGCTTTCAGCATTCAATTTTGAAGCTCCGCAGATTCGAAGTTAATAGAACTCTAAGCTTTCGGAGACTCTACCTTTAAGGTTAACCCTTGAAGCTTCGGAGATTGAAGCTTTATAGAACTCTAAATTTTTAAAACCTCGACATTTAAGTTTGACCTATGAAACTTCCAAGATACAGCTGTCAACCTTCATTTTTGAAGCTCCGCAGATTCGAAGTTAATAGAACTCTAAGCTTTCGGAGACTCTACCTTTAAGGTTAACCCTTGAAGCTTCGGAGATTGAAGCTTTATAGAACTCTAAATTTTTAAAACCTCAACATTTAAGTTTGACCTATGAAACTTCCAAGATACAGCTTTCAACCTTCATTTTTGAAGCTCTGAGCTCATTTTTGAGCTCATTCAAAGATTCTGCCTTTAAGCTTGATCCTCTAAACTTAGGAGATTGAAGCTCTATAGAATTCTATAAACTCTTATGTTTTCCTCTCGAAGCTCCCAGGATTAGAGGCTTTTATAAACCACAGCCCTATCGAGAAGCGAACGCGTGCGCTTCGGCATTGTTGCGTTCCGTAATTAATCGACGATCGTGTTACACGCGGATACGTCCTTAGGGACGCGGCTAGAGAAGAAACTTGAAGGAATCGTTCGGACGGCGTATCTGTGAATTCTTGTTCCTGAATCACGGCCATTTATAACGGCGGTGGGGGCCGGCCGCGATAAGGGAATTCTGTGGTAAGCGATGCGCGGCGAGAATGCATATTTTTCGTGGCTCGCACGTTTCATTATGCGCCGCGCGCGGCTCCGAACGAGGAGGAACAGCGAATCGAAGCGGAAT